AGCCCACAGCCCACAGCCCATGGCCCACGGCACTCAGCCCACACAGCCCATGGCCCACGACCCTCAGGACTCAGCCCACAGCCCACGGCCCACGGCACTCAGCCCACAGCCCAGGGCCCACGGCACTCAGCCCACACAGCCCACAGCACACGACCCTCAGCACTCAGCCCACAGCCCACAGCCCATGGCCCACGGCACTCAGCCCACAGCCCACGACCCTCAGCACTCAGCCCACAGCCCACGGCCCACGGCACTCAGCCCACACAGCCCACAGCCCATGACCCTCAGCACTCAGCCCACAGCCCACGGCCCATAGCACTCAGTCCGTAGCCCACGGCCCAAGGCCCACGGCACTCAGCACTCAGCCCACAGCCCACGGCCCACGGCACTCAGCCCACAGCCCAGGGCTCATAGCCCCGGCACCCTCCCACCCAGTGGCCAGAAGACAGCATGGGGTGCAGCACAGTGGTGGCTGATGACTCCCACTTAGAAATGGCCAGTCCCCTGTCCCCACACTCTGCAGGGACAGGGAAGAGCGTGGAGAGGGAACACAGGGAGAAGTGAGGGAGAGGAAGGGGGCAGAGAGAGAGGGATGCCCGTTCTTGCCTCTGATCACAACTGCTCCCTCCCACCCGTTCTGTTTTTTTTTAAAGATTTTATTTATTTGACAGAGACACAGCGAGAGGGAACATAAGCGGGGGAGTGGGAGAGGGAGAAGCAGGCTTCCCACGGAGCAGGGAGTCCGATGTGGGACTCGATCCCAGGACCCTGAGATCATTGCCTGAGCCGAAGGCAGACGCTTAACGACTGAGCCACCCAGGCGCCCCCCTCCCACCCGTTCTTTACGCGACGGCCGCATGTCAGCTCAGCCCCAGCTCAGCTCCTCTCAGTCACTCCACGGGTGCCCAGCTTTCCCTAGGCCGCCTCCCGCTGACCTGACCCCCGCACCCGCTGCCCTCCGGCTCCAGGCACTGCCACCCCCAGTGTCCTGCCACACCCTCTGCCTGCCCCATGCCTACCCCCATCACCTCCTCCCAGCTGCACCAGCTCCCCTCCCTCCAGGACCTGCTCTGGCTTCCGAGATACCCAGTGAAGTTGTGCCATTCCCTGGCACCGTGCTCTCTGCTGGCCTGGGCTCTGGGAGGGGTAGGCAGCCCTCCCCACCAACGCCCCCCTCCCCGTGCACAGCAGGGTCCTGGATATGGCTGGATGGGGAGAGCGCTCAAAGCCCAGGCCTGGGCTCCTCCAGAAGCTTCACTCACCTCCTCATCCCAGCAGACCCTCCCGTGGGATCCTGCTGGGCCTCCTCGGGGGACCTCCTCAGCTACCAGCCCAGGCAGCTCCCAGTGGCCCTGGCCCAGCAGGCATCTCCCCTTAGGGGCCATTTCTGGCCCTCGTTGTTGCCCATCACCCCAGGCTTTGGGCCACAGGGGACAGGATAGTCCACCCTGGCCTGCAGGGCCCCCAGCCAAACCATTGCATCGGGCACTCCTGGGCTGACCCTCCCTCCACTCCCTGGACCCCCCAGGAGACAGGACCAGGAGCCAGGCATGGGGTGGGGGACCCATAGGCCGGCTTAGCCCTCCTCCCCATCACAGACCAAGAACGCCCAGGGAGCGGCGGCAGGGTCTCACCCTGATGTCTGACCTCCAGGCCCCCTCCTGCCTGCCCCATGTGCCCCCAGAGGATGGACCCACCCGCAGGACTACTGTGACCCCAAAGCAGCACCCAAAGTGTCAGTCCACACAGGCCCTCCTGGGGGTTCTGCATCATCTGCATCTCACGCCACTCCCTCCCCACCCCCATCCCCACCTCCAAGTGTTTGAAGCACATTTAGTAAGACCGTTAAAATGAAGAGGGGCCATGCGTCCCCACTCAGAAATGGAAGCTTCCCAAACCTGGGGCTGGAGGGTTGGGGGAGACTGAGTTGGCCCCAGGGAGCAGATATAGAGCGCCCCTGCAGGTCCTGGGGGCCCAGTGGAGCAAGCTTGGTCAGAAGCCGTCCTGCCAGGTCCCTGCTGGGCTCCAGGCCAGGGACTCTGGCCCCCCACAGGCAGCCCTCCACAAATACCACCTCCCTGGGCCCTGTCCCAGACACACCGGACCTCAGTGTTCTGGTTTCTGCTGGAACCAGACTGCACTGCAGTTTCAAAGCCAAAACAGTGGGAAAATCAGTCCGGTCAGACCCCCTGCAGAGGTGGGAGCTCCTGGCCCCTCTGCCCCACTCCTGTGATGCAGCCTGCCCCGTCCACGCTGCGCGGGCACAGGGCCGTCCAGATCTGACCAGGAGAACACAGCATATCCCCGCTGCACCAGACCACCGACCTGCACAGGAGACAGCAGGAGCCCCCAGCCAGCCCAGCACCCGCTACACCCGGCTCTCGGGTGCGGATGTGGTCCCATCAGCCCCGCCCTGAAGGTCTGGGCCTCCTCACCCAGCCTCAAGGCTGGGCAGACACCAGGCTTCCCACAGGGACAGGAGGGCACGGGGCCAGGACACCCGCTGCGCGCGTCCCCCGCCCCGGAGCCGGCGTGGTCCCAGCCCCGCTTGGCTGCAGCCGACAGAGAGGCCCGCGGAGCCCAGGGCCACATGCGGCAAGGGCCGCCGGTCTGTCCACACGGGGCCAGCGAATCAAGAAGCAAAGTCTAACCAGAGCACATGGAAAATAATCTCTTAATCCTCCAATTATCATACCAAAATCCTCTCCCCCCACCCCCAGCGGTAAACACTCAGCAAACCATCCACGAGAAATTAACGTATTTCCCTCCATTTTTTTCAGCTGTTTTTTCCCAACAGCGAAAACTTAAAACAGAGCAAATGGACCATCAAAAACTGACCTGCTCTCCAAATGGGAGATTGGGGAGAGGAAGTGCCTGCAGCGGACAGAGGGGGGTGGGCCTGGCAGGCACGTGTGCACACGTGTGGGCGGGCCTGAGTGCTCACGTGCATGGGGCACACGTGCGTGTCTGCAGAGCCGTGAGCAGCCCACCCACTCACAGGCCCCCTCCTCCCCGGGGCTGAGCCCAGGCCGCAGTGTCCGTGTCCCCGCACCTCTCCGGGGTCTGAACACAAACGGCTAGCTGAGGTGTGGGCTGGCCAAAGTTCCTCCAGAAGAAAGGCACCCCCAAGGCGGTGCGGGGCCAGGGTCACAGCAGCGCCCTCCTCAAAGGGGGTCACAGTCAGACTGCTCCCAGCAAAGGGGCCTCAGGCCAGGTCCCGCCCAGCACCTCCGTGCAGTGAGGGGCCCACTCTGCACATCGACAGAAACCACCGCGCGCCGAGCAGGAGCGCACACCCGGACGGCTGCCCACGCGGCCAGCCACGCGCCACGCCCCTGGGAGAACGCGCCTCCAGCTGTCTGTGAACACAACACGGCGCACAGAACAGACGTTCCCGAGAGAAGGTACAGCCACTGGTCAGCAGGAGCCCTTCCCAAGCACGGCCGAATCCACCTCCTCGGCCCCTGTGTGTCTGACACCGGCTGGGTGTGCGGCCTCCTAGCGGGTTCGCACAGCCCTGGGACCTCGATTCTGCAAACACGGTCTCAGAGGCAGATGGAGGGGACCGAGCACCGCGCAGGCCGTGGGAGCCCTGCCTCCCTCGGGCAGGTCACCCCTGCCTGGGCCGCCTCCCAGCAGCGTGGCCTTGAGCAAGCTGCCCTGTCGCGGGAGTCTGCTGCATCCTGAGGACTAGCAGGGCACCAGCCCCCAGGGCAGCGGAGGTCCCCCCTCTGGGGAGGCCCTGACCCCTCGGTTATCTGTCTGTGATACTTATGAAAATCCCACTTAAAAAAAAAATGACCACAATGCTTAAAAACAACGTTTAACAAGACTTCAACTGGGACCATCACCAGAGAAACGAGCTGAGGCCCTTTACCCAATAAAGCGCAGAGGGGTCAATCCATTTCTCTCACATCAGAGGCCTGGGCCGGGCAGGCCTGGGCAAGAGCGATCTTGCCACCCGGGCCTCCATTGCTGCAGTGAGTGGGCTCCCTGGACGCACACGGGGACTCAGGGACAGTCTGGCTTGGTCCCCATTCGCCCCCAGTTGGGTGTGGTCACCTGGGAACCTGGCAGATCCAGCCCTTCCTCCAGGCTCTTCTGTCCCCAAGCTCTGAAGCAACCATCTCCCTCCCTCGGGGTGAGGTCTCTGCTGCCTTGGGTCCCAAAGACACCAAGTGCCCTGGACCAGGAGGCTGGGCATGTGCCATGGAAAGTTTCCTGCATCACCTTCACAGCATTTGGGGCGTGTCTAGAGAGACACAGCTGGATGACACAGCCCGGAGCCCAGCCCTGCTGCTCCGCAGGCCGCCAGGTGAGGCAGCCCCTCAGACGCTCTCACACGGCCCCACGCCCACGGCCCCCCAGCCTCCCCCACGCCTGCCATCTGGGCGTCCAGGAGCTCTGCCCACCCTGGGGGCCGGTGGGACTAGCCCCCACTCAGCTCCCTCGCCAGCCGGCACCCTCTGCTGAGCGGGTCCCGCTCTGGGCGCCTAACTCGGGACGGGCCGGGCCCCCACGTACCTGCTGGGGTTGTACTCAAGCGCACCGACCTCCTCGCTGGCCTGCAGCAGGTCCAGGATGCCCGCGGCCGAGCCCACGCCCTCCTTCTTCCCTTTGGCGCTGCGGGCGGGCTTGGAGTCTGTATCGATGTGCAGCGAGCCCTCGTCAGAGGAGCCGTCACTCTGCTGCGGGGACAGAGCCACGGGTCAGGGGGGCTTGGGGGAGAGCTACTGTTTCCCTCTGGCCAGAAAAAGCCGTTTCCCACAGTTTATGAAGAGCCAGCCTTTGTAATGAGCACTGTGGGCGGGGCCGGGCGCCGGGGCTTTCCGTCAGGACCGCAGGCCTGCCCCAGAGGATGAAGCCGTCGCCACACCCTGCCGTTTGCTCGTGAGCCCCAGTCCTGACCACAGACACGCGAGGAGCCGTGTGGCTGGGCAGGGAGCCGGTGGGGGCTCATGCCCACGCTCGGGGAGCCCCGTCAGCCCCTGGCTGGTGGCTCCTCGGTGGGAGGTGGCCCAACTTCAGTCCCCAGAGCACAGTGCCAGGCCTGGCCCCGCGTCCCCTCATTCGTTATCTTCATGGCGGGCGGCCACTCACAGAGACCCGCACACCTCCGCGTGCCCTGTCTTCATCCCTCCTCCGCGGGGCCCGCGGCCAGGACCCAGGCCACCCTCCCCATGAAAACACCCGAGACAAGGTAGAAGAAGACCCCTTTTGCAGCCCACACACCGCCGTCAGCCAGGTCCCGCTGCGTGGTAGGACCGCCCGAGACAGGGACGGACAGCTGGCTCGGCCTCCTGGGCCCAGCACAGGTGCGCTCACCTTGTAGAGTGCCGAGTCCAGCTTTGGCTTCGTAGCGGGCGTGGCCAGAGGCTCCTTCCCGTCCAGCAAGACTGAAAGCACAGCAGACGTGCGTCTGGCAGAGGCCTCGGGAGGACGGCCCGCTCCCCACCCTCACGCCCTCACTCACAAGACAAATCTCTCTTGGGGGTGCTCCTCTTCCTCCTGATGGGAAACTCATCGATCTTGAGCTCCCCGTCATCCGACACGTACTCGTACTCGTCCCGCACTGGCTGGGGCTTGTCCTCCTTGAAGCTCTGCACGGCCCCAAACACGCCTGGGCTGGGCTGTGGCTTGAGGGCCTTGGAGCTGGGGCGGCAGGAGCGGGTCATTCAGCATCCCCCTGCACCCCATCCTGGGCTTCAGAGGACCAGCAGCTGGCCACACGCATCCCCGTCCCATCCCCGTCCCGTCCCCCGGGCTCTTCCCGGACGCTGTGGCCCCAGCGAGAACGGCACATGGCCCACGGGGTGGGTGCCGGCCCTTCCTCGGGCTGTTGGAGGGTGTGCCCCTCACCACCCCCCACCCTGGGGTCCAGCACCAGCTCAGTTTCAGACGGAGCCAGTGGCCCTGGTTCCCTGCGGAGCTATTTCGGAAAAATGAATTCCGTTGTCCTTCAGCTGGGCCTCCCCTCAGGGCGAGGCAGGGCTCCGGCCGTGCCCAGCCATGGGGACAGCAGGCCGGGGCAGGGCCGTCGTCAGCTGCAATGGGACGCCTCCCAGTCCCGGGGGCGGGCAGCCCTGTGGGATGTGGGCGAAGCAGCAGCACACACATCTGTGACACGGTTGGAGTCCTGTCCGCGGCCACCTCCTCCGTCTCCAAAGCCCCCGGAGCCCAGCACCTGAGCTTCGGACCAGCACCAACATGCTCAGGGCCATGAGGTCAGGGCACCGGACCCTCGGACCAGACCTGCCCCACCTGCTCGCCGAGCAGCCTCGACACAATGCCAAGAGGTCTCAAGAATAAGGCCCCATCGTCCCAGGCTCTGCAGGGCCCCAGACGTTGCCTGGCCCCATTTCCCCACCACCTACAAGGAGGAAACTGAAGCCCACGGCAGGACGCTGGCCCCCTTCCCACTGGGATGCGCTGCTTCCTACCGAGGGGCGCCCACCCTGACTTCAGATTGAGCAAGCAACTGCATGAGGGACCACGCTGGTCGGGGCATGTCAGCGGGTGAGGTGTGGCTGGCCTGCCAAGTTGGGTCGGCAGATACACACCTGTCCCACAGTCTGGAACCCAGACGTGCCCACTCCCACACACACACCCTCCCAGGCTGGGTGCTCCACTTCTCAGCACAATGTCACCTCCTCCAGGAAGCCCTCCTGATTTTTCAGGCCCCAGAGGCCCCACAAATCTTTCCTCCAGAGCCCCCATCTCAGCCATAATTTTAGGTACATTTGAGAATACCGGGTTCACACTGGCCTCTGGGCCCCAAGGCCAGGGCCCTGACCCACCCTACCTCTTTTCTCCCAGCCCAGGACAGCAACTGGGCTAACAGCCACCGAGTCACGCTCTTGCCCTCTGCCCCCTCTCCAGCCATCAGAGCTACCAGCCTGGGAGGCAGGGAAGGGCTCTACCAGCCCAGGAGGGGGGCCTCACCTGGGGAGCCCTCCACGAGGGCGTGTGTGTGCTGTGTGCGTGCTGTGTGTGAGCATGTGTGATGGGGGAGGGTGCGTGTGCATGAGCCTGCACGTACCCCAGCAGTCTCTTGTTGAAGGAAAACGAGAACTTGGGGTCCTTGCTCCCTGACAGAGGACACTTCTCCAACTTCTGCTCTTCCTCCATCTTCAGCAGGGAGTCAGGTTTGCTGTTCTGAAAAGCAAACCCAGGACCATCCTTGAGCCCCACGCAGGCAACCAGTGGGCTGAGCCTTTGCGACAGGCCAGCCTCCTCCCTCTGACCACATCATCCAGGAACCCCCTTTCTCTGTAGCCCAGGGCCTGCAAGACACTGTCCAGCTCCAGGGAGTGCGAGTTCAAGCAGGGCCGTCCGCCGACTTGGACAGTGGCACACCCGGCCCCTTCAGCCCTATGGAAGGCAGCCCCACGGAGGCCACACTCACACCTACACCTTCACTACCCGCCCTGGGGACAGGTGGACACACACCTCCTCCCACACCACCTGGCCCACACACATCCCCGTACACCTCACCTTGTACTTCCACTTGGATTCTGACTTGCTCTTAGTTTGCTCTCGGATTTCTAGCCTCTCCACGTCATTCTGCGAGCTGATCGCCTCCTTGTTGGGCACACTCAGGACACTCTTTGTGGCCTAAGAAACAGCAGTCATGACCCAGCAGTGGACGTGGGAGGGTGTTGAGGATCCATGAGGCTACAGGGCAAACCAAGAGCCACACAGCACAGAGCCCCTGCCTCCCCGCTGGCTCACATGCAGCAGCCCATCCACTCACCCACCTATCATCCCACCCACCCACCATCCACCCATTCATGCACCCACCACCACCCACCCACCCATCCATCCATCCACCCATC